AAAACACTCGGAAAATGACAAAATGGACCGGACGACACTAAAGCGAACCTAAAAATGACTCGATAACACATATAAACACATAAAAATAAGCACAAAAACATAACAAACAGATATACAGAAAATATACGGACAATATATAAGTCCAGAAAATATAAAATAAACCAGGTAATTTTATCTCTTCGTAATCCTTTTTTGTGTTATTTACATCTCGTGTATTTTCGGTATATTTATAGTATTTTATGGTTTAATACATGCAACATACAATATTAGACTTATATACAAAAAATACACACATTATATACGGAGGACATGAATACAAACACACGAGATAAATCAATCTTGTCATTACATACAAAATATATACAATTGTATATATTGTGGTTGTAGTCAATATATAATAAAAAAATTAAGTATGGGCCAAATGAGAAGCACGCCGACGAAAATATATACTGAACATATACAGTCTATATACGCAACATATACTGTAAAAAAAAAAAATCTCGCCCTTTTATTCATCGTCCCTGTAAGCACGCCATCAATGGTCATATCCTCGCGGAGCATCATCGGTAGCAACCGCCGCATAGATCATGGGCATTACCAGGGCGGAGTTCATCTTCGTCGCCACTCGGATAAAGCCTGACACTCTCAACCTTGTTGTCGGCTAATTGGGGCCGCCTTCCCCAAGCTTAATTGGAGGGCTAGCGTCGGCGAACTGCTATCTCCGATCGTTGGAGGGACAGCGCGCCTCCTCAATTTCGTGGTGCCCAATTGAGGTTTAGGGTCGCCTTACTCTCGACGGGTCTGCCACTCCATCGATCCGCCGACCTTGCGCTCAACTAAGTCGTGGGTCGCCCGTATTCGATCGATAAAGAAAAAAATAAAAAATAAAAATTTCAACTGTAGGAGGAGAAAAAAATTTTAAGCGTGAATTTGTAGAAGAAGAATAAGAGAGGGAAAGAGAGAGAAGAAGAAGAGAGAGAGAGAGAGAGAGAGAGAGAGAGAGAGAGAGTATCGTGATTAGATTTTTGGAAGGTGATAAGTTTTATTGACATTGGTAGTTTTGTAAATAAAAAGTGCTGAATTGGTTGAATTGCAATTATTTATTACTTGGCTTTATTAATGTAATAAAAAATTATATTTAACGTGTATGGTGCAAATTTCTCTTTATTATTCTTTACTTTTTTTGGCAAAGTTACCACGTTCACAACACCATCATACATAGGTCTTTTTTTTTCCAAGCAACAGAAATATTATTAACCTCAAAAAGAGTATATTTGTATGGCATTGGCAATACAAAACACTTTTGTTTTGCATTTAAAACATCAAACACAAAGGTGAAAGAAAACTCATACAAGGAGATTTATCTCGAGCCAGACACACTAGACTCAAAGTAGATACAATACTCTTCTAATGGGAGATAAAGTCACTCAACAAATGGG